GGATTGGGCGTGCCCTCTGCCACCCGGGAGCAGGCCTAAGCCAGCAGGTTGTTATCTCCCGAGGGGTCCCAGACTGTGAGAGAGCAAAGGCCGGGCTGGGGGGGACCCCCCCCCCAAGTGCACAAATTTTTGTGCACCGGGCCTCTAGTAAAGTCATAAATGCCACAGCTGGTAGCAATTGTGTCTGGCAGGGGTCCTCAAACTACGGCCCGTGGGCCACATGCGGCCCGCCGAAAACATTTATCTTGCCCGCTGGGTGTTTTTGCCGCCGCTGTGTGCATAGGAATTTGTTCATAGTTTTTTTTTTTAAACTATAATCCGGCCCTCCAACGGTCTGAGGGACAGTGAACTGGCCCCCTGTTTAAAAAGTTTGAGGACCCCTGGTGTCTGGGGTGGAAAACTGGTTGATGAGACTCAGATGTGAGAGAGAAACTTTTCTGTGTAAATATTTGTACTGTTTGATTTGTCAGAGGGGCATTAAAACATTTTTGTAATTATACTGAGTTTCATACTAGAAAATATGTTGATGATAGTAATATGCCAGCTACTGTTCTAAATGCTTTAACTATGTTAAATCACCTATTGTTTCCCCAGTTGGTATTATTAGGTCCAAGTTTTACACAAGATGTAACTGAGGCACAAAGAAATTAAGTAACTTGCCTAAGATTAGTTGGTAAATAATTGGCCTGCAACTGATAATCTGGCTACAGAATCACTACACTATGTTAACTTCCCACATCTGTGAACTTCTGTGGCATAAAACATATGAACAAAGCAGTTGTTAATATTGCTCATCAGATTTTCTTTAGGGGTGAGTTGGGTTATATGATTAATGTGTGTGACATTTCCAATCAAGCATATCTATTTGTGAAAGATTCCCCATAGCCCTCTTTCTGTTCTTGCATGGACTCTCTGTGTTGACTGTGATGGGTAAATGGCTTGAACAAAAAATAAACCTTTGATTTTCTAAGCCCTTGATATTTTGATGCTGCTTTTTACTGAAGCAAAATCTAGCTTATTTTTACTGATACAAATAATGTATTCTGATTAGAGTTAAATAGCAAAAAATGTTTTATAAAATGCTAAATAAGATATATTACTATTCTAAATTTTTTTTTTAAATTTAAGACCTTTATTAACAGGTGCTTGCAGTTTGTTGACTTTTTTGAAAAAATCAAGCTGCAAACTTTATTACAAATTTAAAAATGAGGTTCTTAAAAATCTCAACTTGACCAGATATGAAACAATTTTAAAAACCTTTAAAGGTGTATTGAGAAAAACCAGGCTTTTTTTTTTCTTAAAAACACGTTGTCATTACCCAAAAGAGACATCTTTATTTTTTTTTTCTTTTTAAATATATTTTTATTGATTTCCGAGAAGAAGGGAGGAGGAGAGAAACGTCAAGGATGAGAATCACTGATCGGCTGCCTCAGGCACGCCCCCCACTGGGAATGGAGCCTGAAACCCGGGCATGTGCCCTGGCCGGGAACCCATCGGTGATGCTCAACCACCGAGAACCCCGCCGGGCAAACCTCCTGCCACTTAATGGAGCGGAGTCAGGACAAGGCGGAGGTCAGCGGGGGACCACCGGAGGGAGTGCCCTGGGCCCGCGGTTCAGCATCACTGCAGCCTGTTGACGGCCTCAACTCTCCCTCACCCCAGTGCTGGCGCCCCTGTCGCAGCAGCTCGCTCGCCCTAGGGGCCCAGCACCCCCACACTCCTACACCCTTCAGATTCCCCTCCGGGGAGGGGACTTCTCAACATTTGGTCGCTCCTCGGCCTCTGCCATCAGCCTTTGAGATCTCCCATCACCCGCCTTCCTCTTTGAGGGTCGATCATCAGAACCCTCCTCCATTTCGGACGCCTACCTCTGCCTTCAGATCCTCCCCCTGAACGCAGCCTCCGGCCTCCCCACGGTCCCTTCCCTCGGTTTGCACGGGGTTTGAGGAACTTCTCCCCTCGGTCTGCA